AGTTCGAAGTTAGTTTTTTGTTAGCTTAGATGTTTGGTTTTAAATTATCTATAGGTCCCACTTTTTTTTTGCATCCCTATCACTGGGATTGCTTACACAGTATCATTACAGCAGTTTGATTTGATTTTGATTTTTGATTTTATTGATTCATTTCAGACATGTCAAAACCATTATAGGAAACCCAGTGTACCGACACATACACAAAAGAAAAGAAAGAACAAAAAATCATTAACACTAATATGAACACACACACACACAAACGCTGTATCGCTCACCTAGACAAAAGATGGGATTAACCACAGGGCATTTTAATTTTTTCCCTCCTTTTGAAGAGTTGTCATCTGAGGAATCATGGCAATCTTCTGCAGCTCCATGAGGCCCAAGCTCTCTGTCCAAGTCATCCATAATCAGTGAAGAAATTCCACTCAGGAAAGAAAGCTTCTTTTTATCGCTTTACGAAGCACACCCTAAAGGGAAATAAATAAATAAATAAATAAATAGTGTTTAGCCAGCAACTTCCTATTAAAACAAAAAGGTATCTTCAGTCGTGTCTGGAGAACAGGACTGACTCACAGGGTACTCTCTACTCAAGCATCTACTGCATTACTACACATTTAGCAATGGTTTTCCTTTCATACTAACAAAGACTTAATTTGGTGTACTGCCAGTATGAAAGCCCATTGCACTGGCAGTTAACTAGAGATTCTTTAACCATGTATTTATTCTTTAAAAACCTACAATGGATCATTTGTAATGATACACTGTGTATCCTGGCAGCAGGAAATTGACAGTTTTAATAGCCAAATATGTTTACATTTACAAGGAATTTGATATAAAATATGTACAAGACAAGAGGCAAAACCATATACACACCATAGTCCTGTTAAAAAAAAAAAAAGAAAAGAAAGGGAGGCACTTTAGATTCTTTTCCATCAAGACGCATCATTAGGGAGGCCCCGGATTTATTCTGGCAGGCCAGAGTTCAGCCAATGTAATAAATAACTGTCTTCAGTCACAACAACAACCATTAGGAAACAAAAGCAACCCAGTCTCAATCCATACAATTGCAACAATTTGTTTAAGATCTCTGCAACAATCTACCTGCAAACTACCTACCTGCTGGTTTTCAGGCAAGTAGTGGTCACCCATTTAGTTTTGTGTGTGTGTGTGTGTGTGTATTGTATTCCCTATAAACTTAACTGATGAATGAAAACTAGTCATTATTTCAATCATCTTTTATGTCTTTTTTTCTGAACTCGGGCNAAGATGTACAGTTATATCAAAAGTTATTAATGCATGCTGTCAAAATGTTTTTGAACCATACTGAATTCATTTGCTTTGACGGTCAGTTATTGATTACATACAGACGCTAATAAAACTACAGGGTTACATCAACATATCACACTAATTCATGTTACACATTATGATGTCCTGGATATTTGCTTTAACACATTTTCTCTCACTGGACCTCTTTGAATTTTAGTTGACTACCCTGGTATAGTGTCGTTTTCCACAGTGTCACTGAGTCCCTGATGGAGGCTCTTAGTGTCCTGCTGATATTGTACAGCTCCAAGCACTCCAGTATCCATGTGTGTGGTATTGCATCGTAGGCTTTCTTGTAGTCAATCCAGACAGTGCACAGAGTGTTTTCCCAGTCTTACAGTCTCAAGTGACTGCTCTATCAACCAGAAGCTGGTGTTTGGCTCCCCTGCTGTTGCCAACTCTTTCTGGTCTGGCTCATGTATTGACGAATGTGCCTACTCATTCTAGCTGCTATGATGGCTGACAGTAGCTTCCATGTTGTGCAGAGGCATGGTATTCGACGGTAACTCGACGGAAGTGCTCTTCTGTGGATTTTCATTACCGTGACTATCCGGCCTTGGGTTAACCACTCTGAGTGGGTCCCATCCATTAGCAGCTGGTTCATTTGTGCTGATAGATGTCCTTGGGGTGCGGTTAGCTTCTTCAAAGTGGATCAGGTTGGGGCCTGGTGCTATCCCGCTCTTCATTCTCGATACTCTATCATTGGGTTTTGCTCTTGAAGACTGCTGTGGTCTGCTTTCAGGTCCAACAGCCACTGAGCATTAATGTAATGTGAAGCCTCCATCTCCCATATACTCGACCAGCACTACTCAGTCTCATCTTCTAACCCTCCAACTGAGAGTACACTTTAGATGATTTGCTGAATACTTTCCTGTTTATCCGTTTGGCTTCTACTTCTCCAGTGTATCTCTTCAGACAGGTGGCCAGGGATGTGATCCTTTGTTTGGCAGTCTCCAGTGCCTCAAGTAAAGACATGTTGTTGTATTTCCAAGGTAGTCCTTTATTCAGTTGTTTCTTCATCATACCTCTCTGTAGCTCTGATTGTTGGCTATCTTCTCACCTTGTTGCCTTAATCTTGACCTAGAGCCTCCTTATATATGGGTCAATGACATGACGTGCATATTTTTGTATCTGAGTGGATTATGTCCTTCTAATATAATTCAGTCCTGTATCACTTTATTTTATAAAGCCTATTTAGTTTGAACACATTTTCAGCAATTTCAAATAATTATTTCCTTTTATGTTTTAGCTTGTCAAACCCTCAAAATGTCAGGTGGCACAGCTGTCTGTGTAAATGAACAAACTAAAAATACAATTAAAAATGGTATTTTAATGATAAGAAATTCAAAAAATAAATATGATGGCATTATTTCATGTTTTAAACCTCTCAAATGAACCCAATTTCACAAATAAAAGTAGTTTTAAAGCTGTTGATATAATTCAAAAACATTTGTCCAACAATTTGTATGTTCTCAAATGTCAGGGTGGCAGAACCATAAACATGGGACTTTTATTTATCAGTCCAGTAGTATTAACAATAAACAGGATGTTGAATCAGCCAGAAGACCCCAAGTGACCTTTCTGGTTGAGTGAAAAGGTTTGTAGATCTCCCAAATATTGATAAAAAATAGGTACTTTTAACTCCTAAGTGGACTGGTACACTTTTCATGTCAGGTGGTACAACCGATATAAAACTAGGAAAATGTTATTTTATCACAAAACATTGTTTTGTACTTAAAAATCAAAAGTAAGAACTTGCTAGCAAGATAGCAAGCTAATACAAGTGTCCAAGTAGAAGCCTGTTCAATTTGAAATTAGTTGCAAATGTCAGGTGGT